TAAATATGGGAGGAAAGATTTTGTTTAGATAAAAAATAATCATTTCTCATTAATGAAATAATTGATAATTGTTTTTTATTTATTTCATTTAGAAGCTGTGATTCTGATGCTTCATGTTCACTGGTTTTTAAATGTCTTTGATTCCTTCTAGACTTAAACAAATTTTGTACTTCCATTTCTACTTCTACAAAGTTTACAAAAATATCTTCATTTTCTTCACTTTCTAACCATGTATGACAGTTTTTTTTTTACAATGATTTTGTTAATTAATCATTTTTAAATGAAATAATATCAATAAAAAATTGTTTTTTTTTAATTTGGATTTTTCATTGATTTGATTAGCTTGAAATATTGAGTTTGAAAATATCTTATATAATAAATAAAAGTATATTTGTTTATTTTTGGTCATCAGTGATTTTATTGTTAACAAAAGAAAAGGAATCATTCTAGTATAATAAATAAAGTATATTTGTTTATTTTTGGTTAATAATAAAAATAGAATTATACCTGAAAACATCAATGATTTATTGTTACAAAAAATGGAATTATTCTAATATAATAAATAACAGTACATTTATTTTTGGTTATCAATAAAGGTAGAGTTATTTATACTGAAAACGTCAATAAAAGTATGTATTTTGATAATAATAATAAATCAGATATTTCGGGTATAAATAAATATTTATTATTATGAATTTTCTGCACAAATCCTGCTAATAGATTATTGGCTACCTTTAATGTAACACGATCCCGCGCACTCAATTTCCTACACTGTATGCAACAAAAGGATTATTTTTGTGTTTTCCCAAATTTTACAAAAAAAAAATATTTTAGTTTTAGAAAGTAATTCATTCATTCATTAAACCTTAAACCTTAATATCATTCGTGTTTTTTACCTGAAGATCTACTTTGTTGATACTTTATGAGGCAAATGATAAACGCATTAACCCTTTTATTGAAAAATATGGAAGGTTACATGTATTAAAAATATAAAACTATTGGCTACAAATTTATTATACGTTAATTTATTTATATTCAAGTAATTATATGGTTATATTATGTCGCAAGAAAAAAAAAAATAATGCATAAAAAAGATTAATTTAATCACCATATACATCAGGACGCAGTTGTTCATTTCTTTAAGACAGCCAATACATTTTGATTCTTCTTTTGAAAGAAATGCTATTTTGAATTGTTCCATTTGTCATTCTTCTAAAAAAAGACAATTCTTCATTATATACATCTTCTGCTTTACTTTCCTCTGTTTTGAAGCTGTTATAATTGTTATTGATGATAATCATAGTGTAGATAGTAATAGTAATTCTATCAAATATATTTTTCCGTGGTCTGAATGAAAGGCATTCGTTACCAAATCAAGGATTTACCCCTATTATCTTGACAAAAATAGGAATACAATTATACAAAGTTAATATTTAAAGACAAAAATTATAATCTTAGTAACCTACTTAATTTTGCAACAATGCAAAACAACAATCTTCTTAACGCTGCACTTAATACTATAATAAATGACCAAAATATTGTTTCGGAAAATGAGTACAATATAAAACAAGCCCAAGGTCATTACGTCAGTAGGCAACAGGTTGAATTGTCCTCATTTCATCAAGTGAGCCTTGTAGGTGGTAAAGTAGGCTCAGCCTCGGTTCAAGAATCGGCACCCAAAGATTCTTTTCAGATTTTTGTAAAAACACTGATTGGTAAAACTATTACGTTACATGTCAGTAGCCTTTCGACCATTTATGGACTAAAACGGAAATTTCAAGAAAAAGAAGGCATTCCACCGGAACAACAACGTTTGGTTTTTAATGGAAAGCAGTTGGAGGATGATAGAACGCTTCTTGACTATAATATCCAACACGAAAGTACGTTACATATGGTTTTACGTATACGTGGTGGCGGAGAAGTAATTAGTCGTTTGAGCTCCGATTTTTTGCACCCAGCATAGAGATGGGCAAATAGCGTATAGTTGAACACTATACGACACTACACGATACTTTACGTATAGTGCGTATAGTGCGTATAGTACGTATAGTACGTATAGTAGTGTTGAAATTTGATTGGGTG